ATCGGATTACATTTTTTATTTTTCTCCGATATCCGATCCAGTAATTTAGGTCAGTATCGGACCGATACCGATACGTAATATCGGATCGGTCCATCTATAATACATATATACATATATATATATATACATACATACAAACATAACATAACAAAACATTACATAAAAATATATATACATATAAAATTTCCTGCAAGGGTTAATCCACCAATATGCACAAGGTCTTTCATCAAAATGATCTATTTACGTTGTAATATTATACTAACCAGAAATTCTGAGTTAGAGATGGCAAAAAATAACACAAAAAACCTTCTTGTGTCAGTAACAATCTTCCATACTTGTACTTGTTTTCAGTGTAATGTTGTTTATTTGATGACTATCTTTTTCATTATCCCAACATAATATCATCAAGGTTGCTGTGATTTGTAAAATATATCCGTATAAGTAGATATAGAAATTTCCCAAATATACCATAAAAACAAAAGTTTACAAGGGGAAAATCCAACAGCTGGTATCTGCATATCTGTCCTTTTTTTTTTTTTTTAATGAATTAAACATTTCAGAAAATGTAACACCCTATTTAACAAGAACAAAAACCTGCATATAACAGACCTAATTCATAGCTAATGGACAGCTGTTAGCAGCTTGACTGTGGCTGCTCTGACATATTTTCAAGTTTAAATGCAGGTAGGCACACAGTCTCTGGTTTTAGTGCTTTTATATGACTGTAAATGTGAGATTTAAGAGTTTTGAAGTGTTGGTCGTGTACAACGTGACTTTATTAAAAGCTTTGACGTTTTGCAGACAGATAATACACTATCTTAGTTAAGAGCACTTGACATGTTGATGTGTTATTATTTTAAGCCCCTTTAGAGGGGGACTGACCATGAGCATCCTCCTCTGTCTCTGGAAGAAGTACTGGCGGTGTCTGATGCGTCTTTGGATCTCGTTGCGTCTCTGAATGTTTGCGTCGTTTATGTCTCTCATGCGCTTCAGCAGCATGTAAGTCACGAGAAACATCAAAGAGCGCAGCTGCTCCTCCTCTTCCATTATTCCAGCTTTACCCGGGAGGCGACACTACTGCGGGTAACATGTCAGCCTGGTTAAAGTACAGCCTCTCTCATTCCACTTCCGCTTTCTGCTTGTTTATGTCTGGGTGTGAGTGGTGCTGCCATCCAGTGGCTGTCAAGACGAGTAGGGTACTGCACATCTCTCAGTGCTGATGAAGCTCTGTATATTGTTTTAGCATTCAGGGTTCTAGTGCTTTGGAAACAGTGATGTATTTTTTTTTATTTTTAAATTTTTTTTTTAAATTTTTTATTTTTAATTTATTATTTTTATTTTATTTAAAAAAAAAAAAAAAAAAAAAAAGGAAACAGTGATGTAAGCATCTGACATTCTTCGAGACTGACAGAAACTGGTTATCATTAAATGCGTTAGGTACTAGAAACGGGTTCACCGATGTCTCTTCCACACTCTTGAAACTTTGCAGAGAGACACGGAAAACCTTCTTTTGACAGGACATGCAGACGTGCCATCCTGGAGGAGCTGGACTACCTGTGCCGCGTGAATCCAAGTACCGTCTCATGCTACCACTAGGAGCGTTGATAGGAAGGATAAGGAGAGTGCAATAGTCTTTGTTCTTCAAAATATTTCATATTAGGGGTTGTCTTGTTGCCATTCTGTGGCGACTTTTGTGACTTTCATTTGCACCAAAGCAGGTGAAATGGACTCACAGTGGTTTATACTTCCTAACTGGACAGAATAATATCCCTGGAGTGTGTTGTGTTGTCTCTCTACACTCCCCAGTGATCTTTTACTTTGTAATTTAAAAGTTCATTTAACATCAAACCTCTTCAATGTGTAGACAGCTTATTTGATGCTTTACTGTTATCATCTGGCAATGTTTTCTCTATGGAAGTCATACATGATGTTATATTGTGTACACATTAAACAAAAATAGTTCAGTACTATCCTAAATGCTTCTTCCTGCGCTGCCTTTTGTGTTCAGTATAGCCTCAGTGAATGACAAAAAGTGAGCTATTTAAAAGAGGACCATTTATTACAGCAGTGTTTATTTCACTAGTAATGCTCTCTGCTCCAAGCATTTCAATAAATAGGTTCAAAAGCAGTGACTCTCTGTCAGAAGAAATACTGATTTCGAGGAATAGGAACTCCTGTTTTGCAAAAAGAACTCCAGTGTGCAGTTCCTCAATAGTGCTATGAATAGTGAACAAACAACATGTTCTCGACTGGACTTGCTGAGTGTAATGTGAGCCTTAAGAAGAGATGATGTCTGTGCAGGTGTTTATTACTGGATGACAGTAAGGTTAGAGGTTACAGAAGGTGAATATTAGCGAATCATTTACATGTGGATATGCTTTAGATTCTTGTACATTCTTCAGTCATACAAAGACTTAGGACACAACTTTCACTCGAGTGATGAACAACTCTGCAGCTGCGTTTTCAAACTCTTTTGCATCCATGTTTCCGCCAGGCCCCTGTGTCTGTGCACCAGCCATGGCCTGAGCCAGCTTGCAGGGAGAGATCTTGGCACTGGCCTCGAGGTAGCGGATAGCCTTCACATTAGCTTCAGGGCAGGAATTCACTTTAGTGTTTGCGTTGGCACAGTAGTTTGTGTCAGAGCCCTGGGAAGTCTCTAGCGCTTCTTTCAAGGTCCCCAGTACGGCCAGGCACAACGCCCGAGAGGCAGTGCCCTCACCTGGGCAGCACACCTCGGCGTAAAGCCTTTGAGCCTGTCGGATGTAGTCTGAGAAAACGGCACACGTGAGCACGCCATGACGGAAGACATCATAGGGGACGGCTTCATGGTCGTGACAATGGAGGCGTCGCAGGAGGGGAGCAGAGGTGGATGCAGGGACTCCACCCTCGCTGCACAGGCATTGCAAGGTCTGAGTGTAGAGGCCGCCTCTCACTCCTCCTCCTCCAGCAGGGCTGTCGGTGCAGGGGCCATCGGGGCCTTCAGAAAACTCTCCTGCACATGTTTGAGGTCCAGTGAGGTTTAGGAGGTCGTAGGCCACACGGACGTTGTTGCTGAATGCTGATCTGAGGAGAAAGGTGGAATAAAAGAGAACAAATTATTCTTTAGTCTGTAGCAGAGTTATTACAGTTTCATATTTTCTGATTAGTTTTTATTTTTCTTTCATTTGGATTCTTTGTTTTTAATTCAGTTTAGTTTTAGTTAGTTTCCAGAGTGGAAGTTGTCTCAGTTTAGTTTTTATTGTTTTAAAATGTTCACTTTAAATTTGTTTTCTATTACCTTTAGCTTTATTTTTAGTCTTTTTAATTATTATTTTGTGGATGGCATATGTCACAGGAAAGACTCGGGGAAAATCAGTACAAATATTACATTAAAAACATTTTTGAAAGCAGTTGACACACAGTCTCATAGACATCCAGACTCTGAATAAACATGCCTATCAGTGCCTCGTCAGCCAAGTTGTAATAACATTTTACCAGACTAAGAAATATAATGATATTTTCTCTATATTTCTTTTATTCTAATTAATTTTCCAAATCCACAAAATTGTTTCAATTTTGTTTAGTTTTCCTTTCATTTTATCACTGCAGGAAATAAATCATAATCAGGAGAGAGATGATAGAGCAGTTTCTTACGTCTCTAAACCAGAACACTACGGTGGGCTGTAAGGACTAATGAATATGCAAATAATGGATATACAGCATAAAAAAAGCCTGTTTCTGGAGAAAGATGACTTTACAAATATTAGTTAAAATCTAACTACTTCTAAAGCTGTTGAATAGAGCTTATATAGGGAAGAACGTTAATGTGAGGAACAAATTCGTTTGACATGTATGTTCCACCCTGTTGCTGAAAAACATACAGCACGTTGTCCATCACCATACTTTTACTTACATTCATTTATTTTTAAAATTCCAAAGGAAAACAAAATCAAGAGAATAAAAGAGAACATGAGAATCAAACAGACTATTAAGCATTAGTCAGTCTGATAGTCTGACAGAGTTTTTCCCGTAAAAATAATATAATATAATACAATAGCTGCTCTTCTAAATACTGATATGTATTATGTTTGAAAATTCAACAGTTCTCCGTCAACACACACTGCTTTCATCCGCATTGCTGTCGAATATAAGACCATAAACCTCTGTATTTTGTCCGGACCTCTGGGAGTGATGGGCCAGCCGCAGGTGCCACAGAGCCCGGTTGAGACGCTGCTGCTCCTGCGCTCCTGCGCTCACAGTGCCGGTGTTCACCTGCTCCTCGTCGCCGCAACCACCCGAGCCGGCGGCTGTCACGGATGCGAGGTTGCAGAAGTGGTCTGCAAGGAACCCGATGGGATCGTCTGATCTGGCTTCGACCATTTTGAGGATAGCTCCGCGGAGCAGGTCTCCCACCCCTGCCTGTGACAGAAACTCCCTGTCGCTGTCCGATTTGGTGGCTTTACCCGCGGGCATCCCCGGAGGATTAACCCCGGACCGGCGTTTCTCCTTGTCCGCCATTACTGTTGACGTCCCGTGTCGCAGCAACGGCAGCGGAAGTGATGAAAACCCGGTTGGCGTTCAAGAAAACGTCGCAAAATTAAACCACCTCTTTGTCTGGCTCGTTGTAAACAATATACAAGTCGACTGTTTATTCTACCACTCACATCACATCAAAAGGCATTCTTAAAACAAAAATATAAACATATTCAAAAATTTTTTTTAAATTAAATTCCACATGCACATATTCAAGAATAGGGTACATTTTCAGTTGGCTTACAATGGGATTGTGATTTCATGTATAGGAAAAAGGCACTTATATGATTGCATGTGTGAATGAGACCTGTGGTTAGAAAATCCTCTGAGTGCTTATACAGAGTGGATAAGTGCTATGTAAGTAGTGCTTTAAATGTTTATTTTAGAGTTCATTTTGCTACTGGTAGGTTCAAAGGAGATATCAGCTGTTTAGAAATGACAGCCAATAATATTATTCTTGATGTAACTGAAAAATTTGGCTTGATTTATTTATATTCAAGAAAATATATAGTATATTTATATTATTTATTATATATTTATATTTCGGTTCCTTCAATGGATGTGACAAGAACAGAAGTCACATGACCATTGCTGTACCCACCGAGTGACCCAAAGGGACAGGTTTGTTTTATGAAAATACAAAAAATGCTGATATATATTAGAACAAGTGATGCAGTTTATTAAAATAGATGTGCATGTATCATTTTTATTTAAAGATAAGATTAGTTGACCAATACATTTTTAATTTTCCAACACTAAATGTCTAAAATATGGCTGTGGGACAAAGCAAATATAACAAAACATTACATAAAAAGTGTAGTTTTATGTAGTTTTTCATGTTAAAAAATAGTAACTTATCTGTGATTACATTTTTTGTGCTTTGCTTCATATATTTAATGGTACTTTTGTATTTTAGTGCATGTGCAGCAGATTTGATTTTACTTTGGCTTTACGCTATAAAAGATAAAAGTATACATACCTGCTCAAAAATAGACTAATATTTCGATAAAGGTTCCAAGCAAGTTGAACGCTTTTGGTAGTCATCAACAAGCCTTCGGCATTATTCAGACTTGATCTTTGGCCAGTCTTCTCAGCAGAATTGGTAGAGTTCATTTAAATTGGTTGGTGAAGAGAGACCTGAGCGTAGAAGTGAAACTCTGGATTTCCTGGTAAATCTTCATTCCTACTCTCACCTGTGGTAGTGACTGAAAGAAGGATGTTGTGGATACAAGCAGAGGAAATGAGTCTCCTTCAAATGGTGGCTGGACTCTACCTTAGAGATAGGGTAACGAGCTTGGTTATTTGAGAGGGACTTGGGAGGGAGCCGCTGCTCTTCCACATCAAATGGAGCTAGTTGAGGTATCTGATTAGGATGCCTCTTGAACACTTAAGCAAAACAGTTTGTCCCAGGACTGGAGAGATGATACATCTCTCAGCTATAGACATTCTCTCTTTTTCATCTATATAAATGGTAAATGGCCTGTATTTATATAGCGCTTTACTAGTCCCTAAGGACCCCAAAGCGCTTTACATATCCAGTCATCCACCCATTCACACACA